TGAAGATGAATCCTTAGAAAAGGTAAATCCCAGTCCTGCCCCCGCCATAAACCAGTTGTCATAGAAGAACAAATTTCCTTTATCTAGTCTTTATTTTATCTCTTCTTAATCAAATATTGACCAACACAATACTGATTATGAGTATGAGATTATGGGTCAAATTCCATGTTGATGTTAGCATTGGTGTTTGTAGGAACTTTGTCATATACAGTAAACTCTCTGGAAACCGGCACCTTACAAGCCAGCACGCTCTGTTAACCGGCATGCCGGCTTGTAAGATAAAGTGAAACTGGAAGTGCCCACCATGGCACTTCCAGTTTCTCTCAGCCCCCATGACCTGGGGCAAAGCAGCCTGCGCTGCCGAGCCCCCATGGCCCTGGGGCATAGGCTGCACAGGGCTGTGCAGGGCCCGCCTCCCTGTCCCATGGGGCCCACGGCGGGGGCAGCAATGCTGCGGCAGGGGTGGAGGGATGCTCCAGACATGGCAGGAGAAGTGGCAGCCAGGGCCGCTCGATTAACTGGCATGTTTTGTTATCCGGCATCCCCCATTCTCAGGGGATGCCAGATAACAGAGCTTTTCCTGTATAAACTCGGAGGAGAAGGATTGACTAAATAGTGCTGGGAGCGGAGAGCTCCCTTCTATGCCTAGTAAAGGAAATTTACTTGGCTTAGTTGTTCTATCTGCAAATTATTCTTTCTTTCCCTCCTAGTGGTGACTCAGAGGGATTATGTTTTGAGCAATTTTTATTGTTTTGAAAATGAAAAAAAGCACTGCAGTCTGATTCCTCAGAGAATTTGGAGGAACGGAGTTCAAGGCAGGCCATTAAGTAGCATGCTCTGTGAGGATGGGGGAAAAGAAGCTGGGATAATGGTTAAAGTCTGAGAAATAGGTGAAGTCATTTGTGAATATTTGTGTTTGTTTAAGGCAGCAGCTATTTAGCATGTGAGGGGAAAAACGGACACTGAAGGCAGGGGTGGAAGATAGCTAATATGAACAGGTTGGGGGAGCACATATGGAAAAGCTGCCAATAATAAATGAGGGAAGGAGAAGAGAGTGATGAGGAAAGAGAGGATCGATTCTGTCAGGGAAGTTAAAGGAAAGCACAGTTTTGATTTTATTTCCTTAAACTGGGAGTTTATTTTCCATTTTCACATCTAGTAAGTACCAGACTTAAATCCACGGGTGTAAGTGTTAATGCTGTTTAAGTACATTCACCCTTCTGAAAATCCAGAACTTACAAAATTTGTCTCATGTAGTTCAAAAGAAAGGTGAGTGTTTGGGAAGAGCTGGAGTCAGAAGCATGTTACATGTCGGACAGGGGTCAGCAGATGAATGTCTGCTCCACATCGCTGCTTCTGTTTGCCTGCAAAGACAGTTTTGCACTTACAAACATTTAGTAAGTGTCCCTGAAATCAGATTCCCAAACCTCTTGTGAATCTCCTGAAAGGTCTGGTCAAAAGTTTTGGGACCATTCTTATGTTTGGGACTATGCTATTTTACTTGAGCTAGATGATGCAATTTTTCCTGTATGTTTGATCAGTGTCTCAAAAGACAAAAGCGTGTTAGAGCAACTTTTGATAAGTACAAAGCTAATTTGAAATTCAGTGCCAGACCACTTTGGTATATCTTAGAATGAATTTTGTTTTTAGAGTTTGAGTGACTGGATCCATAAGCAGGGGGATTCTTTCTTGGTATAAGTTGGCTTTCACTCCACTGATATTAATGGAGCTACACCAATTTACTTCAACTAAGCTTCGCCTGACTGAGACAATTCTGGCAATATATGCATCTCTGCAATTACATTAAGTTCTGTGATGTTGAACAGTTTATCAGTGACAGCAGTCTGGCGCTAGAACTCTCCCCATTATAAACTATGAAAGAGTAAGCAGGGCTCCTCGGTGCATAATGAGAGAGTTACATGGGAGCAAGAAGGAAAATTGATGAGGTATAAATAGATTGGGACTTTTTCGAAGTGAGCATGTCTGTGTCTTGGGAATTAATAGTCCTACAGATTTCAGTGGGGCAGTGTTCATGAGAATTAAAGCTGAGGTGTCAAAATACTGTATACCACTCTCCAGTTTGATTACCCAATAGCTCCAGGGGATATTGGCAGAGGGCCCACAGCTGAGTCTAGGCTGACTCTGGCATTTTTGTTCCTGCCCATGTCTAATTTTAACTGATGCATTTGTCATTAATGACATTTCTGCCTCAATGGAAATTGTTCTCTTTCTCTTCAGTTATTGGTTTGCTCAGCATCAAATACAAGTTTATAATAAATTGGTTTCTTCACCTCTAAATCATTAAAACTATTCTAGCATACTTCCCTAAAACCAAAGGAAATTAAAATCTTTTCCCATCATTGATATTGTCCTTTTAACTATTTCTTTTTTTACTGCTATATTAATTATTTTTCCATATGTGCTGATAATAATCAGTGTTGTTAGGACAGTAGGAGACTGAATCAGTTTCCTTGCAGCTTTTTTATTACTCTCTGCAGATGCTGTACATTGTAAATTGCTCATTTCCTCCTCAGATTCTCCCCTATGCAGAGAGAGAAGAAGCTAAAGGACTTGCTATTAATTGTTGCTTTCTGCATTCACAGTGCCAGGAATTAAACAGATTGTTGTTTTTTCTCCTAGTTAATCTAATCAGCCCCAGTGCATAGATGCAGTGCTATTGTGTTCATAGTGGAGAAGATAAGAAACAGACTTATACAATTTTGGCAATGCATTTATAAAAAGCGGTACACAACTGGCTTCATATTGATAATGCTTCATGTTCTAGATATAGCAGTTTTAAATAGCATTGTGATAACTAGGTTGTGACAACCGCCAGTAAAAGTATCCTTTAGAATAGGTCGAATATATCCAAAAATATATTATCCTCTGTACCAGAAGCATTATTTTCCTTGAGCTCAGAGTCTGAATCAAAGAAGAATGGCCAAAAACTGTTCATTCCTTACATAAACATTACACAAAGAGAAAATACAGAAGCCAAAGTCCTTAAATCAAAACTTCAAGGCAGATGATGATTTCAGATAAATACATTGGAAAAGTCACAAGTGCTACTAGCATTACATGCAGCATCAGTATGATAAATAGAAAAATGCTTCCATGCTTCCACTAGGAGCTAGCAGAGGAATTAGGTGAGCTGGAGACCAGCTCAGATGAGGAAGAGATGGTAACTACCAGGGTCGTTCGTCGCCGAGTGATTATTCAGGTACATGTCATGGTTACACCTATCAGAACCTTCCCCACTACCCCAACCCTTGGACTGCTGCTGATTCAACCACTTGACTGGTACTGCATTTATGAAGTTGGAATGCTTCTGAATAATGCATGGCCATTACATAACTTTTATACTCTTGTTCTTATGTAGCGGGGGAGGAGGAAGGCAAACAGGAGATAGATATCTGAGTGATTTGGAGTGGGACTGTCAAACCTACCATGCACTCTGGAGATGCCTCAGTAGGAGGATAAAGACTTTATGTTGCTTTTTCAGCTTTACCTACTGTCCAGTTAGCTAATATTTATTTGCCTGTTAGTTTTGGGATAACTTCCTTTGCATGCCTTTTAATATTCATTTACAGAATTTTTTTTTGGCGTTTGTAACAACTCAGTATGAATGCTTCTTGACCCCCTTTTCACTCTTACTTTGAACCAACTAATAAATATAATGTTGTTTATTTAAAACAGTGCTTCTCAACCATGGTGCCAGGGTGCTGCAAAATGCTTTTCAGGGTGCCATGCAGTATTAGCACTGCTACCTACCTGTGACTCGCAAGATAAACCCAGAGGTTTCAAATAGGAATCCAGGGGGTCAAAAACATTTTGATCTATCGTGTTCTTTCAGAGTTCTTTGCAATGGAAGAATTATTCTATTATTTTTCTGTAATAAAGAAATGAGTGAAACTCAAGAGCTGGCATTTTCTGCGGGGGGCCTTGTATAGACTGAGAGATGCCCAGAATCTAAAAATGTTGAGAACCACTGATTTAAAGCAACAATTTGCAGCAAGATATTACCTAATTATATTTTGTTCTTTGCTCCTCAGGCAGATGAGATACCTGAAATGCCACCAGAAACCGTAACCGAGGAGCAGTACACAGATGAGCATGGCCATATTGTCATGAAAAAGGTATTGCAGTTATAGCCCCTCATACATTCTTACTGCCTTTAGATAAAATTTGTGAAAGCGCCTAAGTTACCTAGGAATGGAAATCCCATTAACAAAATTTAAAATAAATTTTAAAAAAAGCACTGAGAGTAGAGTCCCAAAGGAACTGGGACTTACATTTTTTGTTTTTAAAATGAGTATTTTTCTGGTGTACATTTACAGTGAAATTATGATTAGTCTTCGTATTTCATTCATTCAGTATTTCAGTTTTAATAAATTCCCATTTCCAAAGGGAAAAAAATCAGTAGAAAATGTATGAGAGACTTCACTTCAGAGCATAAATTTGATTGACTGTTAGTGAAATTTAAGATCCAAATCCACAAAGTGTATAAGGTATCTAACTGCCATTTTAGATCCCTAGCTGCAAAATTTAGATTCTCAAAAACTCTGTTCAGTTGCCACTTAACCTTGGAGGGTATCTAAGTTTTTACTCTGGGTCTTCCATTTTGCATTAAGCCAGAGACCAAGAGCTAGCATGAACTGCCAGCCTAGTAGTTAAACACTTACTTGGGGTCAAATCTCTGCTCAAGTGACTAATTGGGCTAATTGCTTTTTAGTTAGGTTGGGCTGGTTTAGGTGCTTAACTCCAGAATAAGTTCAAATCTGTGATTCCTGATCAGACAGAGTTGCATCCCGGTAGCTCAGAGTAAGGTGACAGAGTCAGTCACAAAGACAGCAGTGGGTTTAAGACATGCCCTTCTTGTTAGTATTTCCTATTGCCTAGCTTTGCTGGCTTCATGCTCATTGTGCTTGCTTTAAAGGGTCTCATTGTAGGCATCAACTTCAGGCTGTGCATTTCACTAGGTGACTAGTCACCTAAACAATAATCACTGCAAGAACTGTAAAAGGAATTCTGTTTACTGGGTCAGAGCATGTTCCCATCAAGTCCAGTATCCTGTCTCGCAGTGGCAGAGAGAAATTGCTGAGGGGAAGGATGAACAGGGCATGTCCAGAATTTTCTAATCCTCTCCCATTGCAGCTTTTGACATTCAGAGGTTTAGGAAGTCCTGGTTCAGAGACTGCCTCCCTTTCTACTGTATTTGATACCTACTGATGGACCTTGCCTTCAAGAATTGATCCATTCCTCTTTTGAACTGGGTTAAAATGAGTTGCCCTCTGTCTCCCTTGGGTTCACTTGTGCAGAAAAGACAACTTAATCTAAGAGTGACAGAATGCAAACAGGGGATTGAAGAACCCAAATGCTTGGATTTTATTCTCTTCTCAGTAGTCCTGGCTGAGTAGCTGAGTTTATTTGAATTGAATTAGATTTTAAATGATGAATAGAAATTCAATTTTCAGAAGTTAGATAGATGCCTTAGAAATGACAGACAAGGTAATGTGTACCATCTTGCTGTGGGTTTTTGGGCAAGTCCCTTAGGTTGCTTACACACATTCAAATAATCTGAAAGAATTCACTCAGGTTTGCTCACCTGGCAGAAAAACTTACCCAGAGCTGCATGTACAGACATTTGAGAGCTGATGCCCTGAGGAGTGGAGAGCTTGTAGTGAGGATTGTGCAGCCAGGGGGGATCCTGTGCACACGTGTGCTTTGTAGGCTCCCTTAATCTACCTAGTGACAGATGGCAGCAGTACATAGGGCAGCCCTGATTGATTGACCCTCTCTGCCCATGATCAGCTTGTGTTTCCCTGCAGCACAATTTGGGGATTGTGAAGGGGGTATATTCTGCTCCCTACTGGAATGGCAGAGTCCAGCAAGCCACATACTCTCTCTCTGAGTGGGGGTATGCTGTAGGTCTATGTTCTTCTTTGAGAGAAGCCACAGCATGTATAGACACTCACTCTTCCTGGGAAATTCTCCAGGAAGTGATTTAACTTTGTTTGTTTCCAGGTTATTTTCTCCTAGAGTGGCCATTTTTACTCTGAGAAAAAAAGTCTGTATACTCATGGTTTCTCCTGGGAGAGCAGTGACTCTGCTAGGGGAAACTGAATGTCTCCTTAGTGTGAAAACCTGGCCCTGCTGAACCCAATGGCAAAACTCCCTTGGTCTTCATATGGGGCTAAGATACCATTCTTTTATTCTGACTGTGTTTACCAATTAGCGAAATAATGTTAATAAAGTTAAGTATTATACTACCTTTATAAGGCTTCACATGTTAGTGTTGGCAAAATATTTAGAGATACTTGGATAGAAGGTGCTTCATACAGTATAAATGTCAGTTAAGCTCCATTACAGTTAAGTATGCCATCCGTAACACCTGAATGTTATAAAAACAAAGTATGTTTTACTCATTTCATCCCCTTAGGTAACCAGAAGGATCATTAGGCGGTATGTCTCTCCAGATGGTACAGAAAAAGAAGAAGTCATAATGCAGGGAGTACCACAAGAACCTGTTACAGTAAAAGGAGGAGACGGGTATTCCAAAGTTGTAAAGCGGGTTGTTCTGAAAAGCGACAGTGAGCAGTCTGAGGTTAGACTTTCCCTGATTCCTTGTAACGCCACAGAGCCAATGAACGAATAGCTCACTTGCTCCTTTGCCATGTCCCTTCCCCATAACTTATGCCAGTCATGCCATCCAAGTGTAACAGAAAATGTTTGACTAGGTTGTGAGTAGGTCAGTACCAAGAACTGAATACAGGTTTCTCATCTTTGTGTTTTAGATTAAAATTTAATTTTTAAAATTCCAGATAGGGCCTCAGAATAAAACGAGCAGCTTCTCATGATCAGGAGCATCTTTTCAGTCTTCGCTTGTTTTGCTTTGTTTTTGTTTGTTTTTTAAAATTGTAACATAAAGTAAATGTAAATGTTCTATTGGTGGAAAATAGCAAATCCATTCTCCTATGGCCATGCACAAACTAAGCCTAACAACGATTTTAGCAGTGTAGAATCTCAGTTGACAACAACTCATTTCAGCTATGCCATTCAGACTTGACCCTGTCAGATGAGAAGTCCAGGTTAGTAGAACATGACTTTGGAAAAGTAAAACACTGTTTCCTTTTATGATGTACTGCATAGCTTTGGCATCAATCCATACCCTCAAGTAATATGTCCTTACAGAGGAGACCATGAAAATTCTTGCTGTTGCTAGCTATACCTTATGCTAGGGAACAGCTGATTTTAGAAATTATTAGAATTATTTTTCACCACCTATATCCTTCTAAACATTAATACTCGGTATACATTATTGCATGAGAAATTGGGATGGAAAGAAAGCAAAGTCTTTGTGCATAGTTGAACATAAAACTCCATAAATAGTTTATAATATGAAAGATATCTTTATTTAATTCTATTTAAATATGTCTAAAATGTTTTAACTTGCCTCTCTGTGGCTTCATTAGCATAACATGGGAGTCCATGTCTTTTATAAATTTTCTTTTGAAGACGTAATACAAATCTGGGTAGCTGATACAACCCAGCAATGATTTAGGCAGAGAAGCAGTGCTTTCAGCTTTCCTAATTGTTTTGTTTTCAATAATGTTAAGCATGGGGAAGTCTGTACAACAGCCTGCAGTGTAGAAATACCCAATGAAATTCAAATTTAGACGCTGTCTTCCCATAGAAACTTGAGCAATTTTACCCTGTCAAGACTCAGGCTAAGGACACTGGCGCTGAGCTGCATGCTGACTTGACTAGACTACCTGAATTCACAAAGATATTTCATGTACAATGCAGAATCTATTAAATAGCTATAACCCATACTTCACTTTAGAACAGTTAAGTTACACACACACAGTATCTTTCCACAGAAAGTGAGATATTATTCATTGGTGTTCAAAATATTTTCAAAAGAAATAATTTGAGCAAGTGGTTAAATAACAACAGGCAAAAGAGATACCTGTATGTTATATAATGCACACCTAATATTCCCATCATCTCACCCACCAGGTGACCTTCTCTGAGCCCACTGTTTTGTCTGGTGCCTCAGAATTTCAGGCTGAACCAGTGGATGGCCGTAAGGTGAGCAAAGTTGTAAAGACCACCCTGGTACAAGGAGAGAGAATGGAGAAACACCTGGGAGATGCTAGTTTAGCCACTGATCTTCCATCAGCCAAAGAGGATTTTGAAGAGGTAAAATGCCTTCCAAATGAAAGCTTTGAACTAATGTGACAATATTCCAAAATAGAGGAGAACAGTTTGGTCCGTATACACCCATGCAGCCCTACTGAAGTCCATGCGGTTCCATTGGTGGCACATAGGACTGGTGGGGACCTTGCTGGAGACTGACTCCAGTCCCTTCCTGTTGTAAGCAACTGGCCCCCTCTACACATTACAAGTATCGCACAATTAACTGGTTAATTATGCAATTACCTTGGGACCAGCTACTCATGCAAAGTACCAGTCACACCATAAAAAAGCTCCAACCAGTATACAATTAGACCTTGAAAATGTGTACTAACTTTAGAGCTGGTTGTTATCAAGCTTTAATTTGCATGTTAAAGGGTCTCCTCTGACACAGGGGTGCACCATGCCCAGCTGAAGCTGGGAGTGCTGCAACTGAGGCGACTCTCAGCCCCAACAGCTGCTGACTCTGGGTCCCAGCAGCACCCTGCAGCTGCCAGTACTCAGAGCTGTGGATGGTGGGTCCCTGCAATGTGC